CATACAGGTTACACATTTACTGGCAGTGTGAACGGCCCCGGCAAAAAAATGGGAATTGCCAAAAAATCGGAATTGGGTCACTTCAGGCTGCACCCATTGTCTGCACCTGCATCCCCATGTGGCACAGTAGCTGCACTGCTGCTTAGAGCATCGCTCTGCAGAGGACTGTGGGTTTCCAGCCTTTCCTCCACCTCGGACCTCTACACAGGACGATGCAGGAGGAGGGCGTCCTGATCATGAAGGACTCCACCCATCCTCCACCCACCCAGCTGCTCCCCTCAGGGCAAAACCATCAGGCTGAGGAACAGTTTCTTCCCTTCAGCTGTCAAACTGCTGAACTCAAGCCACACCGAATTCATCTTCACCTCATAAATTATTTACACACACACTTTTTTAATGTACATATCTCACCTAAATTACTTTACTATTCATTTATTTATGTATTTCTATTTATGTATTAAATTTATTAATCTGGGACCTGAGTTCAAATTTCGTACCACAAACAAGTAAAGGTGGAATGACAGTAAAAATCCTTTAATCCTTGACTATATTAGCTTAGAACAAGTTCAGCCATAAATGCCATTCTTAAACAACATCAAGTCTTAAGTGTCTGTGTCCGAGATGTCAAATGCTTTTAGGAGACATAATCCTTCGCCATAACACAATAAATCTCAGAACAGACTATAAATATATATTTTTTTAATCTTGAGGCCGCACTGTAAAACCAAGACAGCATCTTGGTTTTGATAACACAAACAGACACAGGAGACGGGTCCATTTCCAGGACAGTGTTCATAATTATTTAGAGATTAGAGATTACATAAGTAATTTAATCAGCAGTAAACAAAATGCAAATGAAAGTTTGTGGCACATAGTGTGAAAGTGATCCGTTTTACAATATATGATGGCAAATTGTTTTGTAATATATATTATTTTTCTAAAATATACATCAAAATGAGCTAAGGATTAACTGAAGAAGAAATGTTATATAATTCACCACTAGGTGTCACTGTTTTCTGCTCGAGTAAAACCAAAACAGTTTTAAGATAAAACACTTGACCTGATTTTCTGCCGTGGAATTAGAAACTAAACTGTGTCTGGATGGTGGAAATCAGAGTTTCTCTGTCAAAGAATAGATCTATGTTTATAGATGTGCATAAACATTCATATAATGTGTAATAAAATCACATTATATGCTACATTAAAGCTCTTTAATGTGTCTTGATTGATCAGAATTATCTCAATAACAATTTTGATCAATCAAGATGTAGTAATTAAGTGACAAACATTTCTTTACAACTATTTTTATACTGTATGTGAACTTTCTACTCAAACATCTTTAAGCATATATATTCATACTGGACTGGTGATATTACCAATTAATTCTGGGGTATTTTAATGTTTAATTTACATATTTCTGGTGCTTCTGTGTGTTCAATACACATTTCAATGGAAGCAAATCTGAAATATTCAAACTAACTAACACGCTCAAATTCCATATGAAATAAATATGATTTTTCCATTTTTATAGATAACTAAAATTGAACAATTTGGTTATTTTCCTGATAATCAGGGGTTGCCACAAATTGATTTGATCTGAATTAATAGTATTATTAATAACAAAAGTATTGGTAACTGATCATTTATGCCCTAAGCCTCATTTGAGCTTTTACACATTTTACTAAATCAGGAAATGTCAGAATTTCAGTATTTCACAATAATTTTGTATGTGTAGTTATTGCCCCAGAGAACTGTACATATAGAGCAATGCAAAATCTAGAAAGTCCTTTACTTCATTTGGTAATGCTTTAAAATTAATATATTTATTGTGTAGTGAAGTTTGTCCTCGTTAATTACTCCACAAATTCTCTTAATTAATCTTTGATATATAAAATGAATAATTTGAGTCCCAACACTCGACCTTGAGGGATACCAGAAGTGATGCCAAATAATTATAAGCAGCTGTCATTCAGGTAAACACTTACCTCTTTATTATATAAATCTTATCTACATTTAAAACTAATGCATAACATTCCTTTTTTTCAACACATAATGGTCTATTATATTAGATTCCTATTAAATAACACCAGAGATCTGCTTGGCCTGAAACCACAGTGACTGTCACACAGTAGATTATTTACAAATCTCTAAACATTTCTAGTTGGTTAACAGTTTATTGCATTTTCAGCTTCAACTCGCCATCTAGTGGAGCAGAAGTGCAACTGTTACCATGGATCCTTCACAGAAAGATTTCTACTTCATAATCTCAGCTTGAACTTTTTTGTTGGAGATTTTTGTATCAATATTTTTCTTTTCAAAAACATATTTTCTACATAAACTGATCTAACAATTTTTATTTTGAAAAAAAAAATAGAAATTACTAAAGAAATTTGAAAATACAAAAACAGAGAAAAAGAAATGACTTGAAACTTCAGAGAGCGTTATATGGTTATATACAGGTATTAGATACATATTTGGCCTTAGCGACTTGTTGTCACGGCCCTGAGGAGGCGAACAATCATTGTTGGTGGCAGTCCTCGTCTGACCAGTTCATCTTTAATCTGCAGAGGAAAACACAAGGCTTTGTTGAGATGAAATCAGTGGCACATTATGAATTGTTCTCAATTTGTGTTCATGTAATTCTGAACTACACTAAATTGTTTTTAATAAGTGATGATTTGCTTCTGCTCAAATTTAAAACAAGACATTTTAAAAGCACTTTAGCAAGAGACAAAACAGGCAATAGAAGAAACTTCATCAGGTATATTATTCAAATTAGATCATGATCAGATTTCATGAAGTTACTGACCTGTTTCACAATGGTCTCATAATCATTTTCCAGTGACAAACTTGTGGAGATCCTGCCATTCAGAGCAACAACATAATCTAGAAGGAAATAGATATTTTTATTCAGAACAGCATGGAAAATAAAAGACAGTTTTATTTCTATTTACAGCACTATGGTGGACAAAACATGAACTGTAGCCAGACTTACACGGCCCTGAAGCAGGTGTTGAATTTGTAGGTGGGGATGTTGCTGTAGATGTAGTCATAGTTGGGGGACGGGTTGGAGTAGTTGGGAATTCAGTTGTTGTAGTTGGGGACTGAGTTGTTGTAGT